TGGTTACATACTACGTACACATCTAGTTACTATGTAAGTACACAGGTATTAGGGACACTTAATATAAAGCGGAATTGGCAATATGGACTTCAGCAGAGAAATATAAAAGCAGAGACTGATACATACTCAGGTAAGATAGATCTTTTGATTTGTGTCATTAAGCATTTGATTTGTGCCATTAGCATTTGTAAAACCGCATTTTTCCATCTCAAAAATATATCTATCAAAACTCTGGCAATTTGATAATACCTAGAATATCAAAATCAACTGCGGGCGGCAGATCCTTTTCCTATTTATCGCCCAAACTCTGGAATAACCTACCTAACATTGTTCGGGAAGCAGACACACTCTGTCAGTTTAAATCTAGATTAAAGACCCATCTCTTTAACCTGGCTTACACATAACACACTAAAACATTTATATAATTCAAAATCGTTAAAGGGTTGTTAGGCTGCATTATTTAGGTCAGTGGTTCTCAAACCTGTCCTGCAGGACCCCTAGTACTGCACATTTTGTATGTCTCCCTTATCTAACACACCTGATTCAACTCATCAGCTCGTTCGTAGAGACTGCAAAACATGAATTGGCTGTGTCTGATAAGGGAGACATACAAAAAGTGCAGGGCTAGGGGTCCTCCAGGACAAGTTTGAGAACCCCTGATTTTAGTCACTGTCAGCTTTGGCTTGCTTAGTTGGCGACACTTAATTTATGGCAATGTTGTCAGCTTGATTGCACAGATACTATTGGAAGAGAGCTAAGCTGGACGATGACATCACTGAAACAATTAACAACTGACTTTATTGTCCTCTTGCATTATCGACACACCCTTTTCCTGTTTATCACTGTAAAGCTGCTTTGACACAATTTGTATTGTATAAAGTGCTATATAAATAAAGGTGACTTGACTTGAGAGTGGGTTGAGTATTTCCAGTTGTTAGAATTGAGAAGACCAGTACCTCCACCCCTCCCAACCTGACGGGGGTGTGAGAGGACAAGAAGTTGTTAGAGACAGCAGGAGGGGTTGCGGAGTCTTGTGGACGAATCCAGGGCTGCATTCCACTCCAGTTTTAGACACACACTCAGGAACGTCCCTAAGCACTTCCCCTCGGGGGAATCCCCGCTGCCATTCTGAAGTGCATTCCACTTCGTGAAGTGGACGAGGGAAGTTTATATAGACAGACCCTCGACCCCTCGATTTTGACAGCAGGAGTGAGTCTGCTTCAAATGCACACTTCTGGCCACTCCACAGACCACAATGCAACACGATTGTGACGTCATCGCAGATCGCGTTCAATTTATCCCCACCCCAAACAACTCTATAATATATAAAAGTTTTTTTTTTTAATATTTATAACAGCCCAAGCATACCTATATACATATAGAATGCTGCACCAAACAAATTCGTAAGGGGAAAAATTTAAACAATAAATCAACTCCATAGTGGATTCTAAGTGATCAAGGGCTTAGGACGGTCCAAGTGTTCCGCCGTAGTCAAGTCAAGTCACCTTTATTTATATAGCGCTTTTAACAATACAGATTGTGTCAAAGCAACTGAACAGCATTAATTAGGAAAATAGTGTGTCAATAATGCAAAATTACAATAGTAAACACTAATTTTTCAGTTAAAGGCAGTTCATCATTGAATTCAGTGATATCATCATCCAGCTCAGTTCAGTTTAAATAGTCTCTGTTGGGGTCAAGTTGTGGTTTTTTGATGAGAGGCTTAATAACAGCCAGTTTGAAGGTAGTGGGCACTCATGTAACGTAATCAATGACGTACATCTGAGTGAACAAGACGGAGGGAAGTTTGCGAGTGAAGGACATAAAAAAGGAGCTGGAATGCAGCCCAGGTGTCAGTCAAGCTAAAGATATTGAGAGTAGATTGAGAAGCAGTTGTTGGAATAAGAGTCTGCTTCTG